GTCCACAGTCACGGCTCCTGTCCCTTAGCGCTCTCCACACAGGTCTCCCTCTGGGTCCTAACTGTTCCCCGCCTTTCCTCTTCAGGCACAGGAGTGTGAGCCTCTCCATGGTTCCCGGCCCTAGACAAGTATGGTGCTTTTCCTACATCTTGCCCACATCTGTGTAAACAGTCCGTTGATGAACTCCCTTCAGTTGCCCAGCGTGAGATGCCCTCCGTTTCCTGCCAGGACCCTGTGGGATACATAGCTGATCCCATCTGGGGTCCCTGAGGCTTCATGCCTGGGCTGGCTGGACCTTCACAGGTTCCAGGCCCCTCCTTAGTCCTTAAGAAAAGGAAGCTCCTTCCTAATGGGGCTTCAGAAGAACTTCCAGGGGCCGGCCCAGTGGCACAGCGGTTAAGTGCGCACATTCTGCTTCAGAACTGGTTCGGATCCCAGGTGAGGGCATGGCACCCCTTGACAAGCCATACTATGGCAGGCATCCCACATATGAATTGGAGGAAGATGGGCACAGATGTTAGCTCAGGGCCAGTCTTCCTCAGCAAAAAAGAGAAGGATTGGCAGCAGATGTGAGCTCAGGGTTAAGCTTCATTAAAAAAAAATAAAATGCAAAAAAATGTTAAGAAAAGAAGAACTTTCGAATAAAGTCAAATATGACCTCCCCACGACTATTTGATACCCCCATCTCCTTCCTGGATCTTACACTTAGAAAATCTCGAATCACCTTCAGACCCTCAGCCCATGACTTTTTCCCAAAGCAACTGCTTTATGAACTTGGTCTGAGTTCATTGATTCTTCCGTCTTTAGTTTCTTTTCTCGTGCTTTCCCTCGCACACCCCTCCTGTTGCCTCAGTCCTTTTCTGACTCTTCCTAGAATATTCTTTGTCCCTTCTTCAGCAGGGGCCCAGCTCTCATGTCACCTCCTCCCAGCCAGAAGTAGAGTTTCCCTCTGAGAGTGCTGTAATGCTTGGCTCTTCCTTCTCCAGTGTGAGTCACCAGACTCTTGGCCGAGCTGCAGAATTTGGAAAATGCTTTACCTCTCCTACAGATGAGAAACTCAAGTTCCCTCTGAGAGGGCCTTTGTGACCCCTCAGCTCTAAACAGTGCCTTACAGCTTATCTGTGCTCAAAAGTCTGTGTGGGCCGGCCGGCTGGCTGATGGATGAACAGAGGAATATTCTTACTTGCTTTTCTCTTCCTGCTGTGGGCTTCTCAGCTTTCAGGCTGCTGCCTGGTACTGCTTCCCTCTTAGGCACCAACTTCACGTTGAGACATGTTGAATTAGCACCTTCAAAATTCATTTTTATCAAAGTAAATGTCTTCAACTCTTGGTTCACGAAATACAATTAACATGTAAACATTTGTATTAGCATTCCAAAAGACTTTTAAGTTGATAAATATGGTAACAGTTTGGGTTCCAATGGCACCAGAGAATTTAGTTCAGTATTCCATAGCTTTTTCAGCCAACTGATAATTAAAGAAAAGAGCAGCTCCAGGTTGGTGGAGAATGTCTTAGCCAAATTGTGGTGCTTTGAATGAAATAATGTGTTAATTAGCAAGTGAGAAAATATTTAAATATCTTGTATGTGTTACGTGCGAACAAGGTAGTTTTCGATACATGATCATTCCCTCATAGTCTCGTTCCACGTGTTATTTTTCAAATGGAATATGACCGTCCTCAGAAAGAATTAGTTCCCGGTTTTGACCATGAAGAGACTGTGATATCATATCACAAGGACTTACTATGGACTTGCTTACAAGGACTTGCTAGGGGCAACAGACCTATTAAAATGACACATGGCCAGTCATGCATATGCTAGACATAATTGAAAAAAAAATTATTTTTAAGACATGGGATAGCAGCTGGAAAAAATTCTGTCTTTCTTTTTTTGCCTTTTGAAACTATTTTTAAATTAATCCTACAGCTACAAATAGCCTGGCTTTTATGGAATTATCTGAAGCTGACTCTGATGCCTAAATTTGGGCCCTAACACTCAGCGACCGCTGTAGAGTCCTGCTAACATTGCCTTCCTGAGACCCTTTCCACAGGCTTTCCCTGGGGTTCAGTTTTCCTTGGACCACACTGAAAGGCTTTGCTGAGCAGCATTTCTCTATAGGCCTCATCCTTTTGTTCTCAAGTAAGCCCATCATTTTGTCTTGAGTCTCCACGGTCATTACGGGCATGTGGTATGTGGGGGTGATATCCCACCCACTCCAGTTCTCAGCAATTCCTTCAACTATTTTGCCAAGTGCTCCTTGCAAACTTTGTCACATACTCTCCAAGGGAAACATTCGGATCTTCGTTGAACAGAAAGACTTGTAGCTGATCCCCTATGTCAAATCCAGAAGGAGCCATGTGCTTAAACATTAATATTTAAATCAATGTGCAGATCAATCATAATTGGAAGTCAGCTCAGATATCAGGACTATTTCAAATGCTTCTTTGAGTAAATATGGAAGACTGAGACCAGAAGAATGTACTGTTACTACATGACATTGCATTAAATCATCTTCCCATTGAAACCACGGCACGAAAGCAAAGCGATTACAAACTGTGAAGTCAAATTCTCAGTAACAATGATGCCAGGGGAAGTAGTGCTCTCTGCTTACCCAGTGTCCTCACATAAATTTCCTTACAGATTTCAATTTTTGATCTCTCGACATCCTTGTTAAGCACGTGGGAGCAATTATTATTTCCTCTTTGCTGATGGGAAAATTGTGGTTGAGAGGACTCGAATTCCTATTCAAAATCCTTGAACTGAATTCTCATTCAAAATCCTTGATCACTACAACTAGATTAGCAAATTTTTCTAATTGGAAAGCATGGGGAATGGGTGTATTAAGAAAAAAAAATTTGGGGGGGAAGACTGGCCCTGAGCTAACACCTGTGCCCATCTTCCTCTACTTTATATGTGGGACGCCTGCCACAGCATGGCTTGATGAGTGGTGCGCAGGTCCGGCCTGGGATCAGAGCTGGTGGCCACCAAAGCCCAGCGCGAACTTAACCACTGCGCCACCAGGTGGCCTGGGAAAAATTTTAATCTAATTTTTGGCTTGGATGTTCCATTGTTGTTTGTTAGTTTCCTTTTCTCTGGGCTCTCCTCTTGGACTTTCCCTTCCTCCTTCCAGCCAGGCTGCTGCGCCCTCCATGACTCCACTGCACTCTGGTGGTAAACACTCGCTGACCCCAGCCCAGGCCTGTGCTGTGAGGCGGTTCCTGCTCCCTCGGGACACAGAGCCCGTGGGAAGACAAGGTGTCCTACGTGCTTTACCTGAGGCGACTGCAGAGCGTGGAGGCTGCACAGAGGAAGCAAGCATGAGCATGACTAGCTTTAAGATGCCCTAAATCAGATGATTCCTAGCAAAGCGAAGCAGAACACTGAAATAATTTTCTTGATATCATTTGTTGATACTTCTAGTTTTCCTGCTCTCTCCACCCTCTGCTATGCACAGTACCATGGAGCTTCTCAGAAGATGGGAGATGCTTCTCATCCCTGAAGCCTCAAATCAAATGTCGCCTCATATGTCCAACCTCTTTCCTGACGACTTAGCTGCATGTGCACCACCCCCGAGGCACCCCTTCCCTCTCCACCATGGCCCTATCACGCTCTAACAATGTATTTGCTATATATTTCCCATTATTGGCCTTACGTTGGGATTGCCAATGGACATCCAATTGAATAGTCATGAGACAAGAAAAAAAAGCCAAACTAGCCTTAATAGAACTTTGTTTATGAAAACTATACATTTCATTATTCTTCCCCTGAAAATGCTTTCGAGGTGGACAAATCCTCCTGCCTAAGGTAGTTATCTGACCTACATTAGAAAAGAGAAATTGTGGGGCAGGAAGGAGATGTTGTCTCATATGGTCAAAGAGGCACTGTCTAAACTTCCAAGTGATGGCACAAATTTCCTTCCTTTCAAGGTGCTATGAGAGTTGAACACAAATGTACACAAGTAAATATTGTCATACTCCACAGAAATCAGATGCTTTCATATGAATTTGAAGAGTGAATCTTAGATAGTTGGTAAAAGAAATGAAATCCTTCAGTTTGACATCTAAACTTCTCACATATAATGGGTCTTCTAATTCTATGATTACATGTACTCATACACACTTTACTGCAATGTCAAATTAATCCACTCATTCAACAAATATTTATAGATGCCCTACTATTTACCAGGCACTGTGTTAGACACTGGTGATACAACTGTGAACAAAGCAGAGACCTTGTCCTCATGGAGCTTCCATTGAATAGGAAAAAGACGTTAATTGGACAAACACCAATAACTATCTACAAATGATGGTACCTGATATAAAAGGAGCATGCCAGATGCTCTGAGAACATGTAGCAGGGAAGCCAGTCTGGCCTGAGTTTGGGGAAGGTCTCCAAAAGGAAGCAACGTTTGAGTTGAAACATGAAATGATTCGTGGTTGACTAGGTGAAGGTGGGAATATGGGGTCTGGGGAGAGAGGGTGCACTCCGGAGAGTGGGTGCACTCCGGAGAGTGGAAACACAGTGTTCAGAAGACTTGGGTAAATCTGCCTGTGCAGCTGTTCTGCCTTCAGGAAAGCATGTCTTTTAGAGCATTGCATCGACTTTGCTGCCAAATTTCTAAATATACTTCGTTTATGATTATTTATAAAGCTATATTTCTAAGCAGCTCATGTGAACAGGATATCACGAAACAGAGGAGGTAAGAGCATGGAAAGCTGGCTATCTGGGTGAACCTTAAACGCTGCTAACCAGATGCTCTTCTTATGAACTGTATTCCTTTTGAAAATCTCAATGAGGGTTTTCAACACCTTCCCATCATCATATCTAAACTGTGCATTCTTTCAGGGATAAAGGCGGAAAGGTTAACCAAATTCATAATTTATTATCCCACTTTCCAGATATATTTACTGGGTTCTGGTTCACTATACATTTCTGACTTTTGATCACTTGCCAAATAAATAATGGAAAATAAATGGCTCAATCATTCTATTACCTTCAACAGTTGTAAATCAAGATGGCCAGCCTCTCATAGAAGGAAAACTTAAAGAGAAGCAAGTCAGATGGAAGTTCATCAAAAGGTGGAAAACTCGTTATTTTACGCTGGCTGGAAATCAACTTCTGTTTCAAAAAGGAAAGTCTGTAAGTTCCTCCGTTGTCTTTCACACTTGCATTTTTGAGGTTTTGGTCTCCATCAAAACCTGTGGGCATTCTGTCTTGAGTTAAAATGCCTATAATTGTTTTCCTACTCCATTTTACGATTTTACAGTGTCATTTAACTCCCTCTGTCCCTTTGACTGTCTATTCTGTTCAACCCTTTGTTAGACGGTCCGCCGGCCCTCTTTAGTTTATTATGAGAGCCCTCGTTTGTTGACTGAAGTTTTCGAAGACGAACTGCAGGAGGACTATCCCGTGATCCTGACTTGAACTCTGCGCCTGTGGTTCCTTGTGGAACCCCTACATTTACGATGGGGTTCCACGATATCTGTGATATTCTCTTTGATCTCTTTTATAACCGTAGGTTAAATTTGGAGGTGGGACCCCAAGGAAGGGGGACAGCAGGCAGGGAGGAAGAAAGAAAGGCTGACTTATTTCAAGTATCTTTTGTAGTCAACTAAGTTGAATTCTGATTAGGGAAAAATATGAGTACCTTTCATTCATGTAATACTCAGTTAATAAATAGAATAGGATTCTAAAAGAGTTAAATATTTATTTAATATAATTTCCCATGTGAACTAGGATACTCAGTAAATATCTGTATTCTCAATTTTCAGTGGGAAACCTCTGAAATAGCATTCTATTCCAATCAACAATGAAGAATTCTCTCCTTCTTTTCAAATCAGTTTACTTTGTCATTAAACTCTACTCACTCAGAATCAGGGGGAATGAAAGCTTGAGCTACTTCTTGGCTGTTTTGAAATATAATAATAATACTTTATCAGTGCTTACTTATCACATGCCACGTAGGATAGGCTCAAACCATCCTCAAAACAATCCTTTAAGGTCAACACTATTGTTATTGCCCTTTTACAGATGGGAACAATGAGACTCAAAAAGACTTATCGGCTTGACCAAGGATAGAGTCGGTAAGGTGAGGAAGGGTGAAACCGGAGTCAGGCTCAGGCAATGTGACACCAAAGCTTGTTCTTAAATGAGTGCACTGTCCTGGGTCCCATGTCCATGTAAAATACAGAGCCAGTGGCAAACTGGACAGTGTCTGAATTAGTTCATGAAAGGCGTTAAGTTACATAAAAATTATGATTCACTTGAAGCATATGTATTATGTCTTTAGAGTGCTCATTATAAAATTTATTGGAATTGGCTACTCAACAGGAATCAAGTATGGTGTATCTAAATTATGACAAATTTTTCTCTGTGCTCTTTTAATTAATAAGACTTCATGTTGAGGCCGGCCTGGTGGCGCAGCAGTTAAGTTCGCACGTTCCACTTCGGTGGCCCAGGGTTCGCCAGTTCGGATCCCCGATGCGGACATGGCACCGCTGGCAAGCCATGCTGTGGTAGGCGTCCCATATAGAAAGTAGAGGAAGATGGGCACGATGTTAGCTCAGGGCCAGTCTTCTTCAGCAAAAAGAGGAGAATTGGCGGCAGACGTTAGCTCAGGGCTAATCTTCCTCAAAAAAAAAGACTTCATGTTAACTTTCTGAATGAAAAGGAAGATTTTGGTGACACTTTGAATTCATGTTATCTGTATATCATGCTATCATGTTATAAAATATACAGATGGACTTTCTTGTGCCTGAAGATTTTTTTGAAAGGACAGTATAATGGTGTATTCAATTTAGACAGTTATTGGAAGTTTAAAGAAAGATCTTTTTAGCATAGGTTCACATTGAAGCATTGTTAAAGAATTTTAAATGACCATCTAAATTTCCTGTTTTTATTAAAGAAAACAGGAATAAAAGTTAAGATGTAGTGATTTCTCAGATCCCTTGAGACAGAGCAGAGTTAGTGCGTAAGAATGATCTTCCTGAATTCAAATAATAACCTTCATACTTCTTGATTCAGAGCTTTTTATTTTATTTTATTTTTGCTGAGGAAGATTCGCCCTGAGCTAACATCTGTTGCCCATCTTCCTCTATTTTGTATGTGGGCTGCTGCCATAGCATGGCCACTGATGAATGGTATAGATCCACACCCGGGAACCAAACCCAGGAGACTGAAGTGGAGCATGCCAAACTTACCCACTAGGCCACCGGGGCTGGGCCCAGAGCTTTTTAATAAAGTTTAGGGAATAAGCTATTTTATAATTGGCTAACTTGTTTGACATCCTTATAGGGAAATTATGGCTTGACATTCCAAAAATCTGACAGAACACGCGGCTCAAATATTGGGAAATAATATAATGTAGTATGAGGACCACAGCAAAATCCCTCATCCCCAGGCACACAGTACCCTAGCAGTGGTCAGCAACCCGGCCAAAGTTTCAGCCACATGGTAAAGGGTCTTTCTTGTAAATGAGGAAAATGTGCATTTTAAATAAGAACTGTAAGACTGCAGTGGTATCTTTTACTTTTCCATTCTTGAGGTCTTGGTCTCTACCAACCAGCTGGGCGCCGGTGTCCTTCGACTCCTGTCCATTCCTCTCGTGGTTAATTCCCTGGCCCTCTTTAGATATTGATGAGAACTTTTTTTTGGATCAGTTCCCCCATGTATCAACTTCTGTACCATAGACTAATTCAAAGAAATATAATTTTAATACTGTCAGTACTTACTATAAACCAAATTAAGCTAACAAAGTATTATCTAGTGCAGTTATCTTCAAACTGTCCTGTATATTCCCTAAAAGAATTTTGAAAAATCTGTCTAATACCTTGTAGCATTTTAAGTTGCATCAGCATTTTTACCACAAGTTTAAACAGTTGTATAGACTGTAATTTCTGTTGAATTGTAAATGTTGTCATTTTAGAGCAAAAAAATCACATCTTTCCTTTAAATGTAACCATTGGAACACCATGGCAATTTGACACCTAACACCATCCATTTTAAAAAGTAGATAAATTAGTTCTTCTTCAGTAGAAATGTTTACATTGCTTTATTTTCTTTGAAATCATATTTTTATTCTCCCTGTCCCACAGCATTTTATCATCACCTCACCATTTTTCACTGCAATAAAACTATGCATATAACTTGAAATTTAATTATTTTAATTTCTCGTGACCATCAATCTCTAAGTGTCGAGATCTTTTTAAAAAATTATATCATTTAGGAAAATCCATAAGTATTATACCAAATGTAATAAAGTTATTGAACAGTAAGAAATGAAATGCTAAGGAGAAGTCATCTCTGAATGAAATAGATGGGGAGTGATTAAGTTGCCTTGGTTGAAGGACACTTCCTTGACATCAATATTTTGAATTGCGTTTTTTGTTTGATGCTCCTGAGATTTTTCCAAGTTAGACAATACACCAGAGAAAGTTTGGGATGAGTGAGATGGGTGTCTTTCCATTGCAAAGTGAGAGAAGGGCAGTTGAAAAGGGACGGTGTGAAAGGAGAACTGGCACGATTCTCGACCACAGGCACATTCTCCAGTAGACAAAATGTGTTCAGGGATGTTAAAGACCTGAGATTGCTTTAAAGAAGTGTCAGATCTGTTAAAACTATTCCTGCTAGCCCACAGTCATGGCCCTGGTGCTGTAGAGACCCTTAAGTCTCTGCTTTGATGCAAACAAAATGTAACGTCATTAAACATTCGTTCGCTTAGTGTTTGTAGACAAACCACGCCTGCAAAGCTCCAGAGAGTCTCAGAAACAGTTCCACCTACTTAACACCGGAACCCTGTTTATTCCATTAATACCCTTTCTCAGAGGTAGTACAAAGGAAAGTTCAATTGCATGCTCCCCAAATTATCTTAAATTCTGAGTTAACAGCACCCCAAATTGTACAGTTGCACGATCCCACTGTCTAATAATTTTCTGTAAACTGGCTATCTTGTGCCAAGTTATGATACGATAACAAAGGACCAGTTGCTCACTCCTTCAGTTGTTCTAATGACTCTGAGGCCTTAGCACCCAAAATAACAAAGATCTTAAGCCATATGAAGTGAAACGATTCTGGTCCTCTTGGAAAATTCTCTGGGGACCAGAGATCTTTCCATAGTCTGGGAGCCAGCTTATGTTCTCTCCTTCCCATGCATTTCAGAAGGACGACCCTGATGACTCCCCAATAGAACTCAGCAAAGTACAGAGTGTGAAAGTGGTGGCCAGGAAACGCAGGGACCGCTCTCTCCCGCGGGCTTTCGAAATCTTCACAGACAATAAAACCTATGTTTTCAAGGCCAAGGATGAGAAGAATGCAGAAGAGTGGCTCCAGTGCATCAATGTGGCAGTCGCCCAAGCAAAAGAGAGGGAAAGTAGGGAAGTAACCACATATCTGTAGGGATTTGCAAGCCGACCTCACACCAACTATACAATGGGCATTGCACTATCATTGCCAATGTCAAGAAAAAGAGACAAATTCACTGCCATGCTGTTTTTTTACTAAATACCCCGGAACAGTTTTCCCTAAGAAGCAGGACCTAAATGTGGCAGGATTCTCCATACATTCCATATCCTACTGGCATTTGCATTAACTCCAGAAGGTCTGTGTGATGTGCTCAAGATGAGGAGCTCCAGATGGTATGCAGCCAGAAAGTGGAGATTCAGGGTCCTAGAAACTTCTATAGATATGTCATTGCACATTGTAAGAAAACCACTTTAAAAGATCCTGGAACCACCTGTCCTGAGGGAGAATAGGCACTTCTGATGAAGAACAGTCTGTCAAAAATACTGAAAGGAGAAACACCTACTAGGAAAAGTCTAATCAGTGGACACTGAGGAGAACCATACAGCTTACTTATAGACATATGCTAATTACTTTTATCCTCTCCTAATAGGAATGAGACAAACCCGTGATAAAACGGCTCTCAGGTTCAGCCAGTTATGTAACTAAATGTCTGTCTTTCAGAACTACTTCTCTGATTATTCCTTTTAGGTTCAGATACCATAATATGATCTAAAGTTTCGATACTTGGATATATCTCCTGCCCAAGGCAGTAAGTGTAAGATGGAATAAGCATAGAAAAACATTTTCTCCATCTTCAAAATACGTGCCATTTCCCTTAAACTTTGAGATTTTAAAATTCTATACTTTTCTTCTTCGTATTCAATTTTTAATACATCTGAATTACAAACATTGATTGGTTTTTGCCATTACTCAATTTTTTTAAATTAAGCTATGGTAGGCAGAATTCTAGGATGACTCTCAATGACCCACAGCCTGGTATAACCTATAACCTCATTCCCTTGAGTATAGTGGCTCCTGTAACTTGCTTCTAACTAATAGAATATGGCAAAAGGGATGGGATAACCTCTCTCATGATTATGGTACATTATATGGCAAAGGCAGAGAAATTTTGCAGATATAATTAAGGCCTTTAATCAGCTCGACTTTGAGTCAATCAAAAGCAAACGATTCTGGGTGGGTCTGACCTCATCAGACGAGCCTGTTAAGAGAGTGAACAAGTCAGAAACTCTCTCCCACTGGCCTTGAATGAGCAAGCTGCCACGAGTGCTACAGCGTCAAGAAAATGAACTTTGCCGACACCCAGGGAGTTTGGAAGAGGATCCTGAGCCTCAGAGGAGAGCCCCGACCCAGCTGAGACCTGGATTGCAGCTTTGCAAAAGCCTGAGCAGAGGACTGGCTAAGCCAGGCCTGGACTCTTGACGCACGGAGACTCTGAGATAATAAATATGTGCTGCTTAAGCTGCTAAGTGTGTGGTCATGTGTTACACAGAAATAGATAGCTAATACAAAAGCTAACTTGGAATACACAGAAAGAGTAATTTTTTCTTGAAATTTATTAACTATGTAGTTATACATAGTTAATTTAGTAATAGTTAATAGTAAATAGTAATATTAATAGTAAATTTATTAACTACATAGTTACAGTATAGAAAACTGGAGAAAGATTCTAAGTAGTGAGCTTCCGGAATCCCCCCCCCCCCCCCCCCCCCCAGCTCTACCGCTAACTCAGTAGCAGAGGAAACAGGACAGAGGCCAAGTCTGGGGAGGAAACAATTCACTTTTAACTTGTAAGGTTTGAGGGTATTGTGTGATAGAGAAGTTATAAGTTGAAAATAGAGTTCTGGAGGTCAAAATTGGGGTTCATTGGATTTGCAGATGGTCATGAAGATGTGGAATTAAATGAAATTGCTCAGGGAGAATAAGACAAAAGAACCACAAAGGGCTTCCTTGGGACATCCAGCATTTAAGCAAAGGCAGGCTGGAGAAGCTGATTAGTGTTCAGACACCTTACAGACCCAGGGAAACAATGTCACAAAAGCCAAATAAATAACATTTTCAGGAAAAAGGAGGAGAGCAACAATGTGAAATCCTGAAAAGTAATCACGTAAGTTACAGAATGACTTTTGCAATTAAGAAGCAATTGGTGGGGCCAGCCTGGTGGCACAGTGGTTAAGTTCGCGTGTTCCACTTCAGTGGCCCAGAGTTTGTGGGATCGGATCCCAGGTGCAGACATACCCACTGTTCATCAAGCCATGCTATGGCAGCATCCTACATACAAAATAGTGGAAGATTGGCACAGATTTTAGCTTATGGATAATCTTCCCCAAGCCAAAAGAGGAAGATTGGCAACAGACGTTAGCTCAGGGCCAATCTTCCTCACCAAAAAAAAAGAAGAAGAAGCAGCAATTGGTGTCATTGGTAAGAACAGTTTCATTGGAGTGATGGGGTAAAAGTCAAATTTCAGTAGGTAGAAGAATCAACAGGAGGTTAGGAGTCTAAAGTGATAATTGGACTACCCTTTCAACAAAATGGGGCTAAGACGGAGAAAGTGTTTTGTTTTTCGTATTAAAGATGAATTAGACTTAAAGGAAAGAAGTTTAAAACATAGAAAAAAAGAGGAAAAGTAACTTTGCTTGAGCAAAGTTTCCAAAAGTGATAGAAAAGGAATAAAACTCTTTCATTCCACAGCAACTTATGGAGCAGCTACTAAGCTACCATGCTTGGCCTGGAGATACTAACATACAAAGACCTAGCTCCTCCCATCAAGGAGTTTACAGCATGGTGGGAAGGACAGACATACACAACAAAAATTACAGGGCAATGTGGCAAGTGCCTTGATGGAGGTATGCACAGGGGGCTGTGGCAACACACGAGAAGACACCACTGTCGCTGACTTTGACTCAAGTAGGCTCCCTCACTGTTTCCCAGAGGTGTCAGAGAACGAGCTCATCTTAAGAACCAGTAAGAGTGTCGTGGGCAGACAAGGAGCAAATGGTCAGTAGAGGGAACCACCTTGCAAAGGCAAAGGAGGGAGCTGGAACATGGTCCATTTGCAAAACAGCAAGTCCTTACCTGGGATTGGAACATAAGGGGCCTGCTGGGGAATGGTGCCAATGATGCTGGAAAGGCCTGGGGGCCATAGCATGAAGGGCTTGCTTCCATGGTAAGGATCTTGAACTTTTTCCTTAAGATGGTGATGCACCATTAAAAAAGGTTTTAAGAAGATTTGCATTTAGAGAAATAACTGATAGAGAATGGATTGTAGGAATATCAAAAATCATAGCAGGGAGATGATTTGGGAGGTTCTTGGAAGGTGGTGAGGACGTGGACTGATGCAGTGGCAGAGGAGATAGAGGGCAAGGGAAATGCGGGAAAAATACTGAACTAGTCAAATGGACAAGACACTAGTGGATCGGATGGACTAGGGGACAGGAATGGGAAAGAAAGAGTCTCTGAAGACTCCTAGGTGCTTTCCTGGGACACTTGATGCACGATGGTGGCATTTACTGAGATAGAAAATTCTGAAGCAACAGTTTGAGAGGTGAGGCACACAGTAAATTAAAGTTTGACATCTACTTTCAGAGTATACGTAAGCGATTCAGCTTGGACTAGAAGGACATCTCCTCCTAAGAAGTTGGGCAGGCAAAGGGTGAGAATAGGCATAGTCATAAATGATTCTCTAATATTATTTTAAAATCTACCAGCTCATTCTTAAGAGTCAGTGAGTAACCCTAGATGGTTTAATCAATTAGGAAAAACTGGTAACGGACAGATAGAAATGGAGTAGGAAATGACTTTGAATTTATTATTAATAATTTAAATGCCAACCATGTGCTCAAACCTTTCACAGCAGAGACATTACAGTAAAGTGCTGCTTATGGACTGATTCTGTTTTCACTGAATGCTTGTCCTAAGAAAGAAGAGAATAGCCCTACCAGCTCAATTTGGAGGAAAAGAATTATTTTTGCTAGTTGTTACAAGTCCTTGTGATTTAATTAACCTGATTCCTCTAGTTAAGAACACAACTCTCAGAGCCTTTGAACCGTGTTTTAAAAAAGCAAATGTAAGGGGCCGGCCCGGTGGCGCAGCGGTTAAGTTCGCACGTTCCGCTTCTCGGCGGCCCGGGGTTCGCTGGTTCGGATCCCGGGTGCGGACATGGCACTGCTTGGCAGCCATGCTGTGGTAGGCGTCCCACGTATAAACTAGAGGAAGATGGGCACGGATGTTAGCTCAGAGCCAGGCTTCCTCAGCAAAAAGAGGAGGACTGGCAGTAGTTAGCTGAGGGCTAATCTTCCTCCAAAAAAAAAAAAAAACAAAAACAAAAACAAAAAAAGCAAATGTAAGAAGTTGAAATAATGATCTTTCTGGCTTCATTCCATGATGCAGTAATTCCAAATTCAAGGCCATTCTCCTGGGTTCAGAGTCACACCGGGAGCCTCGGGACCCTCGCTCTCCCACTGCTATTTCCTGCCCTTCCTCTTCTCTTGGCAGCCGGCTGAGCACAGACTGGCCTTTCCTGAGAGGGCTGCCGTTCCTCATCCTGACCAAGGAAGAAACCGCTTCTCTAAACATGTGTAAATCTTTAAAAATGTTGGTATGAATACAATTATAATCACAGACAGAAATTCGAGTGGTTTTCATTTTTACATCATTTTGGTTCTTTTTCCCTCGCAGATAACTGTGGAAACATAAATGTTTATGTGTGAGAATCTCATCTAGTTATTTTTTTGAGAACTTGGAATTTGGGAAAAATAAATGTTCAATACTCTTCTAATATTGAGTTTTCTATAAAATCTTTGGCTGGTGATGTTGAGGGATATTTATTGGGTCATCTTCAATTCACATATTTACCTATTTTCTGTAGGCACTTCTGGGCCTATCTGTGGGCTGACTTATTCTCAGGCATAAAGACGACATGGTTGAAAAAGCATTTCCCACTTTAGGAAACAATTGCAAAATGAAGTGTGACAATATGTGAGCAGAATTCAAGGTGTATTGCACAGAAGTAAATATCATAAATGCCCCAGTCAGGATTTTAAATGCTAGGCATAAATGCCCTAGTCAGGATTTCCAGTCCCCAAAATCTAACTAAGTTTTTAGAAGAAAAACCCAAGATGTCATCTTGTTCCAGAATACTGCCACTGTGTAGACCTGTTGGGGCCATTCCTCCCCAAAGATGTGTCTGAAAGACAAAGGGACTGGGAAAGCAGGGACACTTCTACTGCGCAGTGGAGTCCAGAGACAATGACACGGGCTCTGGGCACCGATACCTGAAGATTCAAGTCCCAGCTCAACCAAAATTAAATTACCAACCTGAGTAGATTATTCATCTCTCGTCTCTAGGTTGGGAACAATATCTATGGGGCAGAATCAGTATGAGGCTAAAATGTCGTGTAAAAGCATCCAGCAGAGAATCTTTAACTTATGAGGTGCTCAATAAGGACACTCCATTTTTAACACACCGCTAAGGAAGGAAAAGATCCTACCAATGAAACTATGATGCAATGCCTCCATGAAAGCCCGATGAGTAGAGTTTTACCTCAAAAGGTCTTTTACCTTTTCTGAGGGATTTGGCAGTTCCTTCTGACTTCAGTACATTGCATGGTATGTGATTGGTAATTCTTTTATATCTATTTCAGCAACAAAATAAAACCTGGCTTTATTTACATGTTGAAGCTTTATTTACATGTTGGATAAAATATTTAGTGTCTGATTCACAAGACCATGGGGAGCTGTGATCATTCTTCCAATGATAGCTCTGTGGTTCACTAATGTCACATTTCACCCCACTCCTCTATTTCTGTGCTTTTCTATGTATGCGATAACTTTTTGTTTCAAAGTCAAATCGTATTGTAATTATTTTAAGGTATGCTAAACAGCGATTAACACGTGTGGTGCCCACCACGCACATAACTCAACTGAAGTGACAACACAGAGCTAGGACCAAGTTCTGGCTTCAATAGGCAATGGCACCTCCATTCCTGGCAGACAACAGCTGTACACCACCACCAGTTGTAAGACACATCCCAATTTCAGAGCTGTTAAAATATGGGAGGAAAAAAATGTAAATGAATGAGCAAAAGTAAGTACCCAATTAAGAGTTCCACAAGGGTTTGTTTCACAGTAATGAAAGCTGTGTCTGAAATTTTTTGTGAACAATAAAGCATATTGCAAATGTAAGAAATTTTGAAATCTTTTAAGATGGTTAAAATGTCCTTACTGCATCCGTTCTCAAAGCTATGAGATCAGCCATTCCTGTGGATGCTTACCCTCTGTATTAGTCAGGGCTCTCCAGAGAAATAGAACCAATAGGAAAGAGAGAGAGAGAAGAGGAGATTTATTACAGAATTGGCCCATGCAGCTATGGAGGCTGAGAAGCCCCACAATCTACTGTCTGCAAACTGGAGGCCCCAGAAAGCCGGGGATGTTACATGGTCCAAAACATTCAGGCCTGATAACCAGGGGT